GAAAAAGCAATTGACGTGGCTAAATGTGCCTAAACGTGTGTTAATGCTAGGCTTTAGCACTTTATTGTTATTTAATTTCAATAGCCAGAATAAATTATTCTTCCAGCCAATTAAATGAATTAACGCCCAAGCGGTTGATGATTGTAAATGTGCCTAAACTCTTGTAGAGAGCGTTAGATACTTTTATAAGCATCAGGTGTTTTTTCTGCAAAACACTGCTGCCAGGAGGAAGGCTTCTAGGAGAGGTTTTTTTTTAAATCCTGAGTGCATGAGACCTAAAAGTTTTAAAACAAGTTCACCATTCCCCCTGAGATGACTTGATTGGCGGTGGCACAGGTACCTCAGAGATGTAAGATTGCCACCTGATATGGTCAAAAACATTCAGATTAGGAGGCTATATTTCATTGCCTATTGACACCTTAACTTGTTGCTATTGTTTGTACGTATTTTACATGTTCCTTTTTCAGGCGTAATCCATTAAAAAAATTCAGTAATTTTTTGCAGTCAAGATGTTCTTTTATTATCTCAGTTTACAGCGGAACTTTACCCATAGCAACTTGATAAAAAAAAATGTTCTTTAGCAAAGAGCATACATTCCACATTAATAATTATGCTAACAAAATGAGTGTGTGCTGTAAATTGCCTCCAGCATTGTTCCTGTTCAATCATCTTGCTGGAGGCTGCCAATTTGCTGAAGCTCAGAGTCCCTGAACAGCAGTAAATCTTTAGGCTGCCGGCCTCTACACTTTCGGCACAGTGCCAAAAGATAGAGAGCAACTGAGCATTTGCAGAGTAGGGTGAAACAATGTATTACTAGATTTTAAACAGTACAGACACTTATTTATTAATGTTTTACATACAGTGGGGCAAAAAAGTATTTAGCCAGCCACCAATTGTGCAAGTTCTCCCACTTAAAAAGATGAGAGAGGTCTGTAATTGGCATCATAGGTAGACCTCAACTATGAGAGACAAAATGAGAAAAAAAAGAGCTGTCGAAGGACACCAGAAACAAAATTGTAGACCTGCACCAGGCTGGGAAGACTGAATCTGCAATAGGCAAGCAGCTTGGTGTGAACAAATCAACTGTGGGAGCAATAATTAGAAAATAGAAGACATACAAGACCACTGATAATATCCCTCGATCTGGGGCTCCACGCAAGATCTCACCCCGTGGGGTCAAAATGATCACAAGAACGGTGAGCAAAAATCCCAGGACCACACGGGGGGACCTAGTGAATGACCTGCAGAGAGCTGGGACCAACGTAACAAAGGCTACCATCAGTAACACAATACGCCGCCAGGGACTCAGATCCTGCAGTGCCAGACGTGTCCCCCTGCTTAAGCCAGTACATGTCCGGGCCCGTCTGAAGTTTGCTAGAGAGCATTTGGATGATCCAGAAGAGGATTGGGAGAATGTCATATGGTCAGATGAACCCAAAATAGAACTGGTAGAAACACAACTCGTCATGTTTGGAGGAGAGAGAATGCTGAGTTGCATCCAAAGAACACCATACCTACTGTGAAGCATGGGGGTGGCAACATCATGCTTTGGGGCTGTTGCTCCGCAAAGGGACCAGGACGACTGATCCATGTACAGGACAGAATGAATGGGGCCATGTATCTTGAGATTTTGAGTGCAAACCTCCTTCCATCAGCAAGGTCATTGAAGATGAAACGTGGCTGGGTCTTCAAACATGACAATGATCCCAAACATACCACCGGGGCAACGAAGGAGTGGCTTTGTAAGAAGCATTTCAAGGTCCTGGAGTGGCCTAGCCAGTCTCCAGATCTCAACCCCATAGAAAACCTTTGGAGGGAGTTGAAAGTCCGTGTTGCCCAGCGAGAGCCCCAAAACATCACTGCTCTAGAGGAGATCTGCATGGAGGAATGGGCCAACATAGCAGCAACAGTGTGTGCCAACCTTGTGAAGACTTACAGGAAACGTTTGACCTCTGTCATTGCCAACAAAGGATATATAACAAAGTATTGAGATGAACTTTTGATATTGATCAAATACTTATTTTCCACCATAATTTGCAAATAAATTCTTTCCAAATCAACCAATGTGATTGTCTGGATTTTTTGTTTCTCATTTTGTCTCTCATAGTTGAGGTCTACCTATGATGCCAATTACAGGCCTCTCTTATCTTTTTAAGTGGGAGAACTTGCACAATTGGTGGCTGACTTAATACTTTTTTGCCCCACTGTAGCTATATCTGCAAAAGGGGCCAACATGAAATGATCTAGCAGGACCTAATTTTCTGACTAAAGTTCCACCTTAAGTAAGCTTGTAAGCAGGTTAATATGAGCTAGTTAGGTGCTGCCCCTGCCAAGAGGGCTAGGGTTAATTTCCTGATTCTCTCTGTTTGGAGGAATCTTTTTTTCCAACCCTCTGCTCCTGTGAATATAAAAAAGGACAGTGATCCGAAGCCTGGAGTTCCCTGGAGAAAGTCTGAAAGTGTTGTTGCTGGTCTATCTACCCCAAGAGGAGTACAGACAGTGAAGAAAGAGGGATGTGAAACTTACCAACTTGGGGTTCACCCCGAAGATACCAGCTGCTGAAGAATGCAACCGATGGACCTTTTTAGACATGGACTCTATCTTTGCAGGTATGCTGGGGCAGCACATAGCCTGAGTAGGAGTAGGGATTAGGGATCAAGGAAAAGACTGCTTTTGCCTGTTGCACTGTTGAATATTTGCACTTTGATTCAGTATATTATTAAACGTTGCCTTCTGCCTGGTCTGAAGTTCTTTAAAGGAGTGTAATGCAAGTAACTGGCACCTTGCTACAGTTTTGGATCACTGGTGCACTTGGGTATGAAGACAGCACTTAAAGAGTCATCCTAGTGCAATTTTACATGTGGTTGCCATGAGCAATGGAAGTTTCCAGTCAGTTAAAGCAGCCTGTTGGCAGTGTGTATCTGGTACAGGTGGTGGGCATCTGGCAGTGAGAGAGATGCTGTCTGCACTCCTTCCGAAGTGGTCTGTCTCCCATAGCAATAGGAGTGGATCAGCACCACCGAGATCCCCATTTTGTATAGAGGTACAGAAGCTCACAAGTTAAAGTCAAGTGCACATTGGAGCATGGCGGAGCCCACTCTTATACTGGGGACAGTAATGGAAAACAGTGGACAGGTGATTGTGGTCAGTATTTAGCACGACCCTCCTAATTGCAAGCTATAGTGGGAAGAAGTACATTTTAGATGGGGACCCTAGAGCACCTGGAAAACAGTTATGGTTCAAGTGTAGATGGTGTACATTCATCTCTAAAAATAGAGGTTTGCCTTAAGGTTGAGTATTCCCCTGTGCCGGCCTCAGCCTTGTCCCAGAACACTGATGAAACAGGCACAAGGGTGGAGGTACCCAGATGTGTTGTAGAGTGATCCTTTTCCAGGTGCCTACCGTAGCCAGAAGAACCCACCCCAAGGTAGGCCTCCTCCATGACCACACTTGGTGCCCAATGAGAAGGGAAACATGGAGGAGGAACCAACTGCCTATCCTTTATAGCTGATACCCAGCTGATTGCTAAAGGCCTATAAATGAACCATTGAGTTCTTGGGAAATTCAGTGATTGAAACCAGCAAACAGGTTTAGAGTATGCCATTCACAATGTATTCTGAGGAAAGCATTCTAATTACCTGAAAATATGCACTGAAACTACTTATTAGCACTGAAACTACTATATAATTCTATTTTTAATTATGCCTAGCCATAGTGTTTGAAGATGATGGACACAATCTCATGCCTAAGGGTCCTTAAGATGTCATCAGCCAGTGGTGCTGCATTTATCAGGGGAGCTATCAATCTTTCCCAATAGCTATTGTTCCCCATGAAGGAAAGGCGCTAGTAGTGTCTGCCTGCACAACTCTTCTACCCCTTCCCCATCCATTCACACAAACCTGCTAGGTCAGCAGAGCAAATCTTGCAAACAAATAGAAAGATCTCCAACATTCATTGCAATTCTTGTCCTGAAGCAGGTTGAAAAGTGTCTGCTCATCCATACGCTCTATAATGGGCAGGCTAAGCCTCTAGGGCTTGTGACTGCACAAAATGGCTGTATTTCTGCTTTATCAATATACCAGTATGTGTAATGTATTTGACAGCTTTGGGTTTCTGTCCTTGGCCCAGTTTACACAAATTTTAGTGTCAGAGTAGAATGTGCTGTTGTTAGTCTCAAATCAAAGCGACAGCCAAAATCACCAGTAGATAGTGCTTCCTTTATAAAAAGCATCATTCTTTATTTAGCGTATAGGCAGTCTATTTTTGGAGTGATTGTGTTACCGCCCTAGTATGCACAGTATATTATTTTTCTGGAGGTATCATGTGTTTTAGTCCCTTCTTTTTTCCATTGCTGATTTGTTGCTAATATTAGTAGATTCCACTTTCCTATCAAAACAGCAGCACAGAGAGATAATTATAGAATTCAAAAATCCCAGGGTGTAAATTATACCCACAGGACTTTGGAAACTCCCAGAGGAAAAAAGGGTTTTTTACTTTGCCAAGGTTCTGTCATTCTGTAAACTGAATTCCTTTAAAGAGTAAGTGCTTCTGTGGCTGAGACAGATCAGGGCAGGCAATGCTAAATACATGTTCTACTATTGATCCTAAATTTAATGAGAATGTCTCTAGGTTTTATAATAAATCATAATTGTAAACTCTTCTTATTCACAGTCAGCAAATTCTTCAAGAAAACCAAGTTCCATTTTTCTTATAGGCGATAGAAGTAAAATTAGCTTTAAATACACAAAACCAAATATTAAATGAGATGCCTTAGGAAGTGTCAAGATTCTCAATTACCTCTCTGTACACTGCTATAAGCTCTCATGAATGGGCCCCCCGGAAATGAGTTGGATGCCATAGCTAGAGATGTGCACAATTAGTTTTGTTTCATTTGTTAAGTATATCATTTAAAGCAGAGCTCCACCCAAAAGGGGAAGTTCCACTTTAATGCATTGTCCCCCACTCCCCATTAATGTTTGGCACCTTTGGGGAGTGTGGTGGGGAGCAGGTACCAGAATTTGACAGGTACCCGCTCCCACTTCTGCTGCGATTGCCTAGGTCAGTGGTCGGCAAGCCGCGGCTCGCGAGCCACATGCGGCTCTTTACACACTTTAATGCGGCTCTTGTGTGCCAGGCGCCCGCTCCCCTCCCTCCTCTCGGGCGGCAGGGACTCTGCAGCGTGATCCAAAAAAAACAGCCAGGGCAGCGCGCTCAAATGCAATGATTGGCCAGTCTCGCTGCCACTCACATCCTGATAGCCAGTGATTGGCTGTCAGGATGTGTGTAGGCGGGGCAGCGTGACGAACGTGAGAGGAGCTAGGCTCCTCTCACAGTCCGCCCTGAAGACCGGAACGGCGCGGGAACACGGCGAGAGGAACGCGCGGAGCAAAGGTAAATGAATTGACACAGGGGGGATTTGGCTTACTACTTGCTACTTACTTACTACTACTATATGAGGGATGAATTAATATGGGGGATGAATTACTATGGGGGATGAATTACTATAGGGGGGATGAATTACTATATGGGGGATGAATTACTATGGGGGATGAATTACTATGGGGGATGAATTACTATGGGGGATGAATTACTATAGGGGGGATGAATTACTATAGGGGGGATGAATTACTATATGGGGGATGAATTACTATAGGGGGGATGAATTACTATAGGGGGGATGAATTACTATATGGGGGATGAATTACTATAGGGGGGATGAATTACTATGGGGGATGAATTACTATGGGGGATGAATTACTATATGGGGGATGAATTACTATAGGGGGGATGAATTACTATGGGGGATGAATTACTATAGGGGGGATGAATTACTATGGGGGATGAATTACTATGGGGGATGAATTACTATATGGGGGATGAATTACTATGGGGGATGAATTACTATATGGGGGATGAATTACTATGGGGGATGAATTACTATATGGGGGATGAATTACTATATGGGGGATGAATTACTATGGGGGATGAATTACTATATGGGGGATGAATTACTATATGGGGGATGAATTACTATATGGGGGGATGAATTACTATGGGGGATGAATTACTATATGGGGGATGAATTACTATGGGGGATGAATTACTATATGGGGGATGAATTACTATATGGGGGATGAATTACTATGGGGGATGAATTACTATATGGGGGATGAATTACTATATGGGGGATGAATTACTATATGGGGGATGAATTACTATGGGGGATGAATTACTATATGGGGGATGAATTACTATGGGGGATGAATTACTATAAAAACTTATTGAAACTAAAAACAGTGTACCATCCTATGTATTTTCAGTTTTAAAAATGTGGCTCTCAAAATAAATTTCAATCGTGGTTTTGGCGAGATATGGCTCAGTTGAAAAAAAAGGTTGCCCACCACTGGCCTAGGTGATCAGAAGCGGAAGTTGTCCTCCCCCTTCCCTCCCCGTAGTCTTCTGGGACATGTGACAGGTCCCAGAAGACTATAGGGCCATTCACAAAGCGCAGCGCTTCTTGCGCATGTGTAGTGGGCACCCGGCTGTGAAGCTGCAAGCTGTCACAGCCGGGTGCCCACACTAAAGAATCCGGAGCCAGGGAGAGAAGAGAGCCGGTGAAACCAGCCATGGTGAGGACACCGCTGGACCAAGGGACAGGTGAGTGGCTGTATTTTAAAATTCAGCAGATACAGTTTTTGTAGCTGTTGACTTTTATTTTTATTTTTTTTTCAGCTGGAACTCTGCTTTAATCTCGTCATAATTTTATGGTAAAATGACTCATTTTCGGAATGATTTGTTATTTTGACAGATTACATATTGGTTGATTTGATTCATATTTTCAGACTTTCTGTTATGCTTTTGTTATTTCGGAAGATTGGCTATATTCATTTTAACAGAATTAATTAATATGTATTCATTCATTATGTCATTAAGTTGAATTCATTTCCCTATTTCCAACTGATTTTGTAGGGCCCCATACATACAAATTAAACAAATGGTCTCTCAAGTTCAACCCAATGCAAAAAGAATCTTATTAGAATATTCACACTACGCACACTAGAATAAAAACAAATGGATCAGAATCAATTTGGATCATTCATTATGTTGTTATATTATTGCAGATGCCTCAAACATTAACAAGGCCCAAACTATTGCATCACGTCATCTGATAGAAGCAAATGTTTTCGTTATAATTTACTTTGAATTAGTTGAATCTCTATTCATAACTAAACGAATTGCACATGTCTATCCGTAACATACTTTGTGGAACAGACCCAGCATGCACTTACATAGGTCCAGCTTGGCAAAAGCAGCTTCAGCAATTGGCCATTTGTGTGTCTGAAGTGGTCTGATTCTAATCATATGCACGTTTTTTACATGAATGTGTTTGTGAGTACTATATTTGAAAGATTTAATAATTCAAAAGACTTGTTTCATGAGGAGAATTGTTCTGCTCCATATACATATAAAATTCAGCAGATACAGTGCATATATATATGCACACACACACTATATTGCCAAAAGTATGGGATGCCTGCCTTTACATGCACATGAACTTTAATGGCATCCCAGTCTTAGTCCGTAGGGTTCACAATTGAGTTGGCCCACCCTTTGCAGCTCTAACAGCTTCAACTCTTTTGGGAAGGTTGTCCACAAGGTTTAGGAGTGTGTCTATGGAAATGCTTGACCATTCTTCCAGAAGCACATTTGTGAGGTCAGGCACTTATGTCAGACGAGAAGGCCTGGCTTGCAGTTTCTGCTCTAATTCATCCCAAAGGTGTTCTATCAGCTTGAGGTCAGGCCAGTCAAGTTCCTTCACCCCAAACTCACTCATTCATGTCTTTATGGACCTTGCTTTGTGCACTGGTGTGCAGTCATGTTGGAACAGGAAGGGGCCATTCCCAAACTGTTCCCACAAAGTCGGGAGCATGGAATTGTCCAAAATGTCTTGGTATGCTGACACCTTAAGAGTTCCCTTCACTGGAATTAAAGGGCCAAAAACAACCCCACACCATAATCCCCCCTCCACCAAACTTTACACTTGGCACAATGCAGTCATGCAAGTACTGTTCTCCTGCCAACTGCCAAACCCAGACACATCCATCGGATTGCCAGACAGAGAATTCATGATTCGTCTCCACTGCTCTAGAGTCCAGTGGCGGCGTGCTTTACGCCACTGCATTCGAAGCTTTGCATTGCACTTGGTGATGTAAGGCTTGGATGCAGCTGCTCTGCAATGGAAACCCATTTCATGAAACTCTCTACGCACTGTTGTTGTGCTAATCTGAAGGCCACACCAAGTTTGGAGATCTTTAGCTAATGACTCTGAAGACAGTTGGCGACTTTTGCGCACTGTGCATTTCAGCATGCCCTGACCCTGCTTTGTCATTTTACATGGCCTTCCACTTTGTGGCTGAGTTGCTGTTGTTCCCAGTTGCTTCCACTTTGTTATAATACCACTAACAGCTGACCGCGGAATATTTATTAGCAAGGAAATTTCACGGATGGACTTATTGCACCGGTGGCAACCTATCACAGTACCACGCTTGAATTCACTGAGCTCCTGAGAACGACCCATTCTTTCACAAATGTATATAGAAGCAGTCTGCATGCCTAGGTGCTTGATTTTATACACCTGTGGCCATGGAGGTGATTGGAACACCTGAATCCAATGATTTGGAGGGGTGTCCCAATACTTTTGGCAATATAGTGTATATATATATATATATATATATATATATATATATATATACACACACAGTTGTGCTCAAAAGTTTGTATACCCTGGCAGAAATCATGAAATTTGGCATTGATATTGCAATTTGACTAATCATGCCAAAAAGCTGTCTGTTATCTAAGGATAGTGATCATATGAAGTCATTTATTATCACATAGATGTTTGACTCCTTTTTAAACCATAATTATAACAGAAATCACCTAAATGTCCCTGATCAAAAGTTTACATATTAAAACAAAAACAACCTGCTCCACAAGAACTATGTGAAAAGTTTGAAAGTGAATGCTGCTGTGCTTTAATAAAAGTCAAAAAGATTGATAAAAATCAAAAAATCAGTGAAACAATAAAACAGCGCAAAACATGAAATTAATCAAAAGTAATTATACACAAATCATAATAAATTCTGAGGTTATAAAATACATGTCCATTTGTGTCCAAATACAAAAAGTAATGAAACCAAAAACATAGAAAGTCCCCTTTAAACATGCAAATAGTGCTCCAAAAATTGTTTAGGATAAGTGTAATACAGAGAAAAGACTCCACGGATCCACACCTTCCTGGGAATACTGATGTATTCCGCACTCACTGGAGATAAGAATAAATTGCACTTTATGGATACAATATTATCCTCCAATTCCCAGGGAAAATTTCCTCTCCATAGCCTCCTCCATATACAAGAGCTTCCTTACATCCAACTTCAAAAGGGATTTCCCCTCCTAACGATGTGTTATATAGGAAGACAAAGGAGAACCAATAGTGCAATATTGCAAAGACTTTTAACTGAACAAAATAGTGCTCAATCTACTCACATTATAACTTAAAATAGGTCGCCAATTGACAAAATCTTCCAAAACAGACTTCCTAGTGTAAAAACGGATTCCAGAAAGTAAACCAAACTGGCAACACTGGATATGACGTCACACGCTCAACATAGGAAACTGGAAGTAAGTCTGTTTGAAGTGTTTCGCCCCTCCTCCAGGGCGTTATCAAAAGTCTTACATTAATATTCACAGGAAGGTGTGGATCCGTGGAGTCTTTTCTCTGTATTACACTTATCCTACAAAATTTTTGGAGCACTATTTGCATGTTTATAGGGGACTTTATTTGTTTTTGGTTTCATCATCTTTTGTATTTGGACACAAATGTTATATTTTTTTTCGTTTTGGTGGTTTTGGACATTTATTTTATAACCACAGAATTTATTATGATTTGTGTATAATTACTTTTGATTAATTTCATGTTTTGCGCTGTTTTATTGTTTCACAAAAGTTTACATATGCTGGAATGTTTGGCTTAGACACACAAAGTGACACACAGATTAAAAAGGCAATTAAAGGTTAATTTCTGACATCTGTGGCTTTTTAAATTGCAATTAGTGTCTGTGTATAAATAGTCAATGAGTTTGTTAGCTCTCACGCTGATGCACTGAGCAGGCTAGATACTAAGCTATGGGGAGCAGAAAAGAACTGTCAAATGACCTGCGTAACAAGGTAATGGAACTTTAAAAAAATAGAAAAGGATATAAAAAGATATCCAAAGCCTTGACTATGCCAGTCAGTACTGTTCAATCACTTATTAAAAAGTGGAAAATTCAGGGATCTTGATAGCAAGCCAAGGTCAGATAGACCAAAAAAGATTGCAGCCACAACTGCCAGAAGAATTGTTTGGGATACAAAGGAAAACCCACAGGCAACTTTACAAGAAATACAGGCTGCTCTGGAAAAAGACGGTGTGGTTGTTTCAAGCAACACAATACAATACTTGAATAAAAATGAGCTGCACAGTCAAGTTGCCAGAAAGAACCCTTTACTGCACCAATTCTACAAAGAAGACCAGTTACAATATGCCTGACAACACCTTGACACACCTCACAGCTTCTAGCACACTGTAATCTGGGGTGACAAGACCAATATAGAGCTTTACGTTTACAACCATAAGCGCTGTTTAGAGGTAGCTCAACAAGGCCTATAGCAACAAGAATACCATTTCCACTGTGAAGAATGGTGGTGGCTCTCTCATGTTTTGGGGATGTGTGATCATGTGGAATCTTGTGAAAACTGATGGCAAGATGAATGCATCACGTTATCAGAAAATACTGGCAAGCAATTTGTATTCTTCTACATGAAAGCTGCACATGGGATACTCTTTGACTCTCCAGCATGACAATGACCCTAAGCACAAGGCCAAGTTGATTGGTTGGTTGGTTGCAGCAGAAAAAGGCGCAGGTTCTGGAGTTGCTTTCACAGTCTCCTGACCTTAATATCATCAAGCCAGTCTGGAGAGATCTTAAACGCGCAGTTCATGTAAGATGACCAAAAAGACTTTGCATGACCTGGAGGCATTTTGCCATGACAAATGGGCAGCTATACCACCTGCAAGAACCTGGGGCCTCATAGACAATTATTACAAATGAGTGCTGCCATTGATGCTAAAGGGGGCAATACACAGTACTAAGAACAAAGGATATGCAGACTTTTGAAAGGGGTCATTAAATTTGTTTACTTGTTGTCATGTTTTGTTTTATGACTGTGCCATTCTGTTAAGACTTACAGTTACAGAATATGAATTCCAAAAGAATTAAAATAAATGTGCTTTGCCTGCTCACTCATGTTTTCATTAAAAATGGTACATACCAATTCTGTGAAGAGAGGTGCAATATTTTGTATACACTTAAAATACCATAATTTAATGGACATATAGTGCCAATATGGGAAAAACCAGCACAGTTGGAGAAGAGCTGCAGAACCAGGTCTGGTCATTGACTTGCACTAGGAGAGTGAAATGAAAATTTGCATGCTGTGTTTTCCTGTGCAATAAAACAAACTTACCTGACTGTTATTCATCCACTGAGTGGCATATTTATATATATACAGTGAGGAATAGAACTATTTGAACACCCTGCAATTT